GTGTGTATCACTACGGTCAGCCTCATCTGTCCATCCTCCAGATCAATAGTGATTGGCTGCTGTGATGGGATCAATGGGAGGGTGGCACCAGTCCAGATGGCCGCTCCATATGGCTTGTGTTTATGTCCGTCAGGAGAACCTGCAGCTAATGCCATCTGGACAGAACAGCACGTCACCGAGAGAGTGAAGCCGCAGCGGACACCAGGCTTTCTTCAGTCCTGTTTACTGTTGTGATTGAGCACAGAATGCTTTCCTGCAGTGTTTGCTCCTGTGCTGGCTGTCTCCTTACCGTGTCACGTGGAAAGTCCATCCTCAAGTCAAGTCACGCTGATTTCTACAGCACTTCATACGAGCAGCTTCACAGTAATGAACAGGAAAATAACAGTGTTAATGTAAAATTCATCCGTTATGAAACAAATTCAATTTCAGCAATAAAGCAGCTCTACAGAAGACAATAGTGTCATTATTCAGTTCAATAACAGTGTCAGTGTTGCATCCATTTTTACGGCTGAATCTTCTAAAATGCATGTTTTTTTGTTTTTTCCACCTCAGGCCCAAAGCACAGCACATTATTGACTTTGTGTCAGTAACAATATTTGTTCTGCAAGTACCGCATGTTCTCAGATCAAAGGATTTTTAAAAATGCATTTATTTATTTAATTTATTATAATTAGCATCTTTACTGTAACTGAATGTTTCCTGCAGAAATGATAGTTAGAATCAGATGCATGACCTGACTTCACACTACTGAGCACAAAACTAAGCATTTAAATATCATATAACCCGAGTATCACTGAAATGCTAGTATAGTTTGTTAATATTTTGAATTAGATGTTATTTATATGTTCCGTTTTTAGTTAAAGCTTTAGCAATGCACACAGTTTTAGTACACTGTAAATCTGCGTTGACACAATCAGTATTGCATAAAGTGCTATATAAATAAAGGTGACTTAATTTTGTAAATTAAGCCTAATTCAAAGAGAATTTATTATATTTAGGCAATTAAAATCTAATGTTGAGACGTGCAAATTGGCTGGACCCTGCAGCACAAAAGCAGTGTTGAGTCGCTGGGGGATATTTGTAGCAATAGCCAACAATACATTGTATGGGTCACAATTATACATTTCTCTTTTATGCCAAAAATCATTAGGATATTAAGTAAAGATCATGTTCCATGAAGATATTTTGTGAATGTCCTACTGTAAATATATCAAAACTTAATGTTTGATTAGTAATATGCATTGCTAAGAACTTCATTTGAACAACTTTAAAGATGATTTTCTCAATATTTTTTGCACCCCCAGATTCCAGATTTTCTAATATTGTCCGATCCTAACAAACCATACATCAATGGAGAGCTTATTTATTCAGCTTTCAGATGATGCATAAATCTCAATTTCCAACAATTGACCCTTATGACTGGTTTTGTGCTCCAGGGTCACACATGTAAAATGTATTTCACTTTCAACATTTCTTCTGCAGCGCACACTAAACAACATTTATCCATCATCAGATTATTTTGTGGCATCTTTTACCCCAGAGCTCTTCGGTGTTTCCTGTAACCGTGTCCTTCTGTTGCAGGGACTTCCTCCCGCGCGGCTCTGGGATCGTCACCCGCAGGCCCCTCGTCTTGCAGCTCATCAACTGTCCCACAGGTGAGCCGGCTAAACACCGCTCTGTGTGTCTCAGGTGCTTCTCGCGCTGACTTTGACTGCAGAAACACATCAGAAGCAGCTGTAATAGCGTGATTCAGCATTAACACTGCCATCTAGTGTAGCAGTCTGACCTTCCGTCTGAACTCTGTAAAGCCTGCTGTGTTTCTCTTAATGACCACTGATCAACATGATCCCAACTTTACTGAGAAACCAGGTCCACACACATATCTGCTACACGCCTTCCTGATAGTTTAGAGGTTTATATCCATTCACATTCACATTTAGTCATTTAGCAGACGCTTTTATCCAAAGCGACTTACAAATAGAAGCAATCAAAACCAACAGAAAAGCAATGATATGCAAGAGCCGTGACAAGTCTCGGGTAGCCTAACGCAGTACACGTAGCAGGGTTTTTAATAATAAAAAGAAAAACAAGTTAGAATAGAAAATGCTAGTGGCTCTTTTTTTATTAATGTTACTGGAGATATAGAGCGACAACTGATATTTATATCATTTTATGTCAGTATCTGCTCTACTACTGTTATAAAGCTCTCATTGATTTACATTAGAAACATGTAAATATCAGCATCTGCAGCAAAGTCATATTTTTGCTCCGTTTGAGTCTCTGAATAACTGTATCACTGTTTCAGACGATATGAGCCATACAGGCCTGATGATCAAAAAACAGAAAATACATATGCATATGATTTTTAAAATATGTTACATTAAAAACAGATTTTTCTGACTTATTTTATATGTCAGGGTTAATTTGGAGACGTGCAGCTCAGTTTCGAGTGTAATGATGTGCTTTATAACGGTTTCCTCTCAGAATATGCCGAGTTCCTCCACTGTAAGGGGAAGAAGTTCACAGATTTCGATGAGGTGCGTCAGGAGATCGAGGCGGAGACGGATCGAGCCACAGGCCAGAATAAAGGCATTTCTCCCGTGCCCATCAACCTGCGTGTCTACTCGCCTAACGGTCAGATTACAGCATGAGATTAACACTCATTAACACACAAACTTCACAGTATGAGATATGATCAGTTTCAGTATATTCTGATGTTGGCTGGAATCAGTGGTGTTGTGTGCGCAGTGCTGAACCTGACTCTGGTGGATCTGCCGGGAATGA